CCAAAAAATTGTAGAATCACCCTCATAAGTTTAAGCAAATTACAAAAATACCATCTAAAACTCCGGAATTAGAGAAACATCACCAACAAATCCAAAAAATTGTAGAATCACTCCTAGAAATTTCAGGAAATCATATAAGTATCACCCCAAAAGTTTCAGAAATTATAGAATCATCTCCAAAAAGTTTCAAAATTTCCTCTTGATTATATTATGCATACTCCCATAGAAATTTGAGACTAATATTTTTATTCATTGGGAAATTAGAGAATTTGTAAATGGTCCAAAACATATTTTTTTCTATTTAAGTTTTTTCATTTCTTGTAATTATCAATTGCATTCTTGAACTCTTTCTTATGTTATTCTCATCTTTCAAAGTCCATCATGAGTTTATATGATCATTATGATGTCTATTTATATATTTATCCAACATCAAGAATGTCTCAAGTTCACAGTTTTTCACAACATCATCACCATATCTATTCCACTCCTAGAGTTTCTCGAAGTCATCATAAAGTTCATAGTAAGTTTGAGGTTTATTATGAAAATTATCTAGAATACTATTCTGGGACATTTAGGTCACATAACAGTTATCAACGTCATGCTTCCTAAAGTCATCATCAAGGTCAATCTGGATTAGTCTTCAATGTCATTAGTGACCATTCAAAAGTCTAAACTGCCTTAGAAAAAAGGTTGAGATATTTGAAATTGGAGTTGCCAATTCTAAACGTTCACTCGGCCAATTACGTGAAGAATGTAGAGTGATGAAAAACCAATTATTTGAATTAACAAGTAAACTTTTTCACTTGAATAAAATTCTTGCGAGTCAGCAAATGGAAGAAAATAAAGACAAGTCTCCAGTTTCACCTACTGTCAGACACCCATATAATGATAGTCATATTTTTGTTCCATTGGACTCTCATGCTTTACATCCTTCAAAACATACTTTCAATTGTTTGAATATTGATACTAGTGATGAGATTATTTTTGATCCTATCATGTTTCCTACCTCATTAGAGCCAAAAGTTGAATCATCACTAATCATTAAATTGGAGGAAAAATCCATTCAGTTGGTTCCTATGCAAGATGTTGAGCATATTGAGCTATATATTTTACAATCTGTTAGCGATTATTTTATGTTTACTAATCCGAATCACAAATTTTTATTTGGAAGACAGGCTACTTAATCAAGGTACTCCATAACCTCTTATTTTGTTATCTAGTGTTTCTACAAGTGAAATTGCTTCTTCCTCAGCACTAGCTCCAATTCTTATCTTTCCATTTCTATCGCATATTTTGGGCCAAATAGATGATGTGCTACGTGACCAGATTTACATTACTACAGATGGAAATTCTTGTATTTATTCTGATCAATGAAAAGATGTTGATGGTTCTTTCATTTTAGATGAGGTGTTTGGTCATCTTTGTGCTGCTCTCTTAGGTATTTTTGCTTTCAAGACTCTTCGGAGGAGAGTTTTTCTCAACCGGAGGAGAATGATGGGGATCGTGTAAGAATAGGATAGATATTATAGATTAATTATTATAGTTTTTTAGATACTTTTAATAATTATCTTTTAAGAAATTTTTTTTAACTTATGAGGGTTTATTTGTCATTATTTATTTGTTTTAGGGTTTTAGTTTCCCTATATAAAGGGATGCATGTAAGGGTTTTAGATTATACTTTGATTATTATTGATTACTAATATTGAATTTTCTTCCTCAAATTCTCTTTCTTTCCTCATCCCCTTCTTTTTCTTTTTTCATCAATTTCTTCTTCCCTTCTCATCCCTAATTCTTATCTACATTATGATGCCTTTTATTTGGCCTTGACTTACCCCAAACCTAACGAGGTCCTACCTCATTGCTCAACCCCTAAGGCCTTTGTCCATACTATGGGTAAGAAGAGCTTGCCAAAACCCTTACGGAGCCAGGGCGGGGATAAGTTGCATCCAAGAATTGGGGAAGTACCCCAGAATCACACCTTGGAATCCCTGATTGATGTGCAAATCAAACAAGTTGTAGACTCTACAAAAGAAATTGATGAAAGTAATCTGCAAGTTAGTATGTCCCAATGGATTTCTCAAGTTCCAACTTCCATTCCGGATGATTCAGAAGCTCTCTCGACTGCAGCAGTGGCGGTGGACTTCAACAGCCACACGAGCCATGCTAATCATCTCCTAAAACTGTCAGGGAGTCGAGCGACCCTGGACAGTTCGCACACTTCGAGGGATCATACAATCTCATCGCCCGGATGTGGTCTTCGTTATGGAGACTAAGAATAAAGTAGATAAGTTGGAAAAGATTCACCATTCTATGAACTACAGGTATTTTGAGTATGTAGACCCAATCACGTTATCTGGAGGCCTAGCTTTGTGGTGGAAGGAAGGGGTGGATGTTCATATTGATTTTAAAAGTCAAAATATCATCAATACTAGGTGCAAAATTAATCAACCCCCATCGGTGTGGCAATCAACTTTTATTTATGTTGATCTGAACTTTGACAAGAGGCAAAGGCTGTGGAGGTTCTTGAGATCTCTTGCTAAGGACCATACCCTTCCTTGGTTGATTGTTGGTGATTTCAATATTATTGGATCTGTTTGGGACAAATTGGGAGGCAGAGCGAGAAATTATAGGAAAATTGAGGGATTTCAATTGCTAGTATCGGATTGTGGAGTTATGAAAATTGATCCGAAAGGCTCCTCCTATACTTGGTCTAATAACAAGGAAAGAGCTGCAAACGTCTAGGAAAGAATCGACAAGGTTTTAGCCAACCCAAATTGGAAGACTTACTTCCTTATGCTCACGTTTTTCATGAATCAAGGTTAGGTTTTGACCACTGCTAAATAGTGATAGACCTTAGTCTTGAGCCAAAGAAACTCCCTTATCGCTTCAGATTCGAAGCAATGTGGTTGGATTCTAATAATTGCGAGGCAATTATTAAAGCGAGTTGGCTCCCTCCAGTCCACAACCCCAATTTGGGATCCATCCAACGCAAACTGAGGGAGTGCTGTGTCAACCTACAAAACTGGAGCAGAGAAGCCTTTGGAAACTATAGAAAGAAAGTAGAAGAGCTCAATTACAAGCTTAAGATGGTTAAGAGAAGTGCTCCTACAAAGGACAATCTTAGTCTAGAAAGAGAGCTACAAACCCAAATTGACTCTATGAGGAGAAGGGAGGAGATGTACTGGATGCAGCGTTCACGAATCAACTGGTTAAGGCATGGAGACCAAAATACAAAATTTTTTCACCTTACCACAATCCAAAGAAGGCAGCAAAACCAAATTCTTAGTTTGAAAACCATTTATGGAGATTGGATTGGGGATGAAGTGAGCCTAAATTCCCACATATCAGACTATTTCAGTTCTTTATTCTCCTCGGTTGGTACCCGAGACTTTTCTGATGTGCTGCAAGTGACTCCCCCCTTAGTTTCAGGTGAAATGAATACAAAGCTTATGCTCTGTGTTACTGAGAATGAAATTCTGATAGCTGTTAAACAATTTGGTGAACCTTAAGTCCCAAGCCTTGATGGTTTTCCGAGAATTTGTTTACCAGAGACATTGGCAAATCATAGGAGGGGAAGTATGTAGAGTTGTCTAGAATTTTTTTGCTGAAGGCGTGATGAGCCCGGAGTTGAACAAAACCAATTTAGTTTTAATCCCTAAAGAACCCTCTCCTGAATCTCTCACCCAATTTCGCCCCATAGCTCTATGTGACTTTCTTTGCAAGATCATTTCCAAAACTCTTGCCAATAGGTTGAAGAGCATCCTCCGATTTCTAGTCACCCCTAACCAAGTCGCTTTTGTTCCTCATCGTCAAATCCAAGATAGTATTCTTATTGCTAACAAAGCTTTCCATGCCCTTAAGATTAAAATGGGCAAAGAGAACCTGATGGCAATCAAGTTAGACCTCAATAAAGCGTACGATAGAATTGAATGGGACTTTCTGGGAGCTATTTTGAAGAGGTTGGGTTTTCATGACTCTTGGACTAATCTTTATCCTCCAATGTGTTACTACGGTGAATTTTGAAGTAATGATTAACAGGGCTGCTAGGTGTGAAGTTACCCCACACATGGGACTTACACAAGGCGACCTAATCTCACCATATTTATTCCTCCTAGTTGCGGATGTCCTCTCTAGACCTATATACAAAGATTTGTATGAAGGACGGCTCTCTGGTATGCGAATAAAACAGCGATGACTTATAAACGATGTAAGAATTTATAAACTTTTATTTACCGATGACTCCCTTATTTTTCTAAAAGCTACTGTACAGAAGGGTAGACAACTAAGGAGTACGTTGTCCAAATATTGTGAGGCTTCGGGGCAACTTATAAACTTTTAGAAATTAGGGGTGCTGTTTTCCAAAAAAACTCCCCAGGATGTAAGAATTTCTCTGAGCAATCAATTGGATATTGAAGCTCTCCCTAGCAATGCAAAGTCCTTGGGTATTCCTTCCTTTTGGGGTCGGTCCAAGGTAGAGACCTTTAATTACTTAGTTGAAAGAGTTATGAGGAAAATTCAAGGGTGGAAGGAAAATTATCTATCCCAAGTAGTGAAGGAGGTGTTGATCAAGGTAGTGGTGCAGGCGATCCCTAGTTATGCAATGCCCTGTCTAGCTTTCCTCGTAAGTTATGTGATAAATTTACTTCTTTGGTGAGAAGGTTTTGGTGGGGGAAGAATTCGGAGGCAAATGGTATACATTGGAAAAAATGGGATGAGTTTACGTTACCAAAAGCGCAAAGGGGTATGGGCTTTAGGGATTTCCATTGCTACAACCAAGCTCTGTTGGCTAAGCAAGGGTGGCGACTTATCCAAAATCCAAATTCTTTTTGGGCACGAATCATGAAGTCAATCTATTATCCTAACATTGATTTTTTATAGGCCAGAAGGGGCGCAAGACCTTCATGGATGTGGAGTAGTCTCCTTTTAGAGAGGGATCTGCTAGAGAAGGGAGTCCACTGGCAAGTGCAAAATGGTAATAAGATTTGCTTCTGGAAAGATAAATGGGTAACCCACTCCCAAATTTTAGAATCTCTTCTATAAAGCCGGCTGACTATGAGATTAACTTGGTGGAAGATGTTATTCTACGGGATATGAAGGTATGGAATGTTAATGCCATGAAACAAGTGATTAGGTCAGAGGAATGGGAAGCTATCTCTCATATTCCAATTGCAAAACAAATGGGCACTGACAAACTGGTCTGGGATCCCAGTCCTAAAGGAGTTTACAATGTGAAGTCAGGTTATGTTCTAGCCAGAGAGGATAAACAGTTGAAGATAAAGAATCTAGAGGGGGTGTCCAGTAGTTCTCATCCAAGACTTTGGAAGCTAATCTGACAGCTTAACACTATCCCAAAAGTTAAGCACTTCTGATGGAATGTGATGTCTAACGCCTCGGCTACCCAACAAAACTTATTTAGACAAAGATGTGTGACTTCCCCATTGTGTAGGATCTGCAACACAGAAGTTGAGACTGCGGAACACCTACTCCTTTCCTGCGGTTGGACCTATAAGGTGTGGTTTGGGTGTGATTTGGGCCTCAGAATGGGTCAACAAGTTATCCCCAGTATTCATAAGTGGATCTCAGATCTGGTGGATGCATTGCCGGATTCCAAACAAGCAGTGGTATTTTTGAGCAAGGTGGCCTTTGTTGGGTGGACCTTCTGGAAAATGAGGAATGGAGCCATCTTTCATCACCAGCTCCCTAACCCTTTGAACTCCATTAATAGGGTCATAATGGGGTGGGGAGACATGGGTTATTCAAGACCTTGCAGATCTAGGGGCCAACCAAATTCGGATGCACAGAATTCATCACAAGTCCCTAGCTTCCCCCATCCCAGAATTTGGTCAAATTCAATTGTGATGTCGCATTTAACCCAAGCAGGTCTAAAGCTTCGGCTGGAGTGGTGTGTAGGGATGCTGGTGGGGTTCTCATTGATGGGGTTTCCTTCCCAATACCAGCAGCATCCAGTCTGTTTTTTGAAGCTGCTACAGTCCGTGAAGCCTGCCTCATGGCTCTTTCTCTGAACCTTAATCGTGCTACAAATGAAAGTGACAACCAGCCCCTCATTTTGCTATGCACCAGAGAAGATGATCCCCCATGGGAAATAGATCCCTTTATAGAAGACATCAAGCCTGCTGCTACAGTCTTGAATCATAAGTTCAGATATCTTTTCCATCCCTTACCTCAGGACTGGGTGGTGAATCCACCACTTGAGCTGGGGGATTTACTTATTTCCAATTGTAATCAATCGTTTGTTTGATGGATGAAATTTTCCTTTTCTGATAAAAAAAAAAAAAAAAGACTTAGATACCAAAATAGTGAGGCATAATTCAGGTTTTAGACGAAAGAACCAAGCTTTATAATTTTGACCGATTCCTAGCATTGGTATATCTTGTTTTATATGTACGAAAATTACTACAAAATTTATGTATTTAATTAGAATCAGAACAAGTTTTCATTTAGTCCCAGGAGATTGTTAGTGAAAAACCCCCTTATTCATTCACCGATACCCTGTTCCCTTCACACTCTGGCCACTACCTTTTCGGTGACCTATATGCCATTCTAAGCAATTCTATTTTATAGTTGGTTCAACTTCCTGCAATACCTTACATATATTGCTTTTCAAAAATATTGTTATGCTCTAGTGTGGGTTTATGATGTACTAATAGCCATCACCGTTACCTTATACAGGATCCGGGAACAAAACCAGCAACGCGGGTATGGCCTTCAATTAACGTTGGTACGGAAATATATGTTAGCAGTGAGGGTGCGGGGGTGACTGCTGAATGGGCTGTTTCTGATTTTGATGTATTGGTACTAGAAGATGCTACCTCTGATGGTAGGGGATTTTTGTAGGTACTGAACATATTGTAGTTATTGCTAGTATGTTCACTTTCAACTTAAATAGTTAAAATTGGATCAAAAAAAAAAAACTTGAATGGTTAATTTTTTTTGATCCAAAACTTAAATAGTTAATTAATCCAGTAATATTGCTTGCTTTCATTTTTTTCCCCCTCGGTTCTGTATTCTGATTTTCTATAAATTTGACAAGAGAATATCTACATTAACTGCAAAATGATGTTTCTTATGCTAGTGTTGCTGATAGAATGTGTGGAATTGGTTATGACACGTTATTGTTCTTTTAGAGAAAAAATTGGTTTTANGTTTTTTAGTAGCACAAGTGGCTGATTGTAAATTTCATTCCACATTATAGAAAAGAAAGGAGCAAGAGTCTCCATTAAAGAGTGGATTAACCGAACTCCCGAGCTGGTAAACCACTATACTTTTATTGTACACAACTCCCCAAATTCCTCAGTATTCTTTACATAAATCGCACAAAACTTGAAGCTTAGACCCAAGTTATCAAGTATAATCCATTCCCTCTGTTCATCCACACTAATTTACACCATCAGTTTGGCGTCGTCTGTGGGAACGATTGTTCCTGTTACAAATACGTTGATCTTTCAATAACCGATGGTCTCAACTTGCAACATGAGCAGAAGCCAAACAAAACTACTACGAATGCAGGACCAACAAGAAGCTACCAACGACAGACAACCCGAGAATGCCCCGGAGACTAATCCTTCCATGGGGAATTCCCCTGCAAATAACGAGTTGGAGGCCCTTCGTTTAGTTAATCAGCGACTATTACAATAGAATGAGGAGCTTCTAAATCTTTTGCAATGCCCATAGGAGGCACGACCAGCCCAAGAAAGCCTGAATAATCCACCTCACAAAGAACAACACCTGGATCCCCTTACAGAAGTCAACGAAGGAGGAAAAAACAGCTAGACCTTGGGGCAGATTTCCCATGTACTCCCCAGGAATGGACACAATAAAAAAGTGCAAAGTCAAAACGCTGGGGGTGAAAAAAATGATTTTTTCCCTTATCAGCAGCAGAGGAGAGAACAGTACTGGGAACAACGCTTCAAGGACATCCAGTAAGAGCTCAGCCACATGAAGGAAGCTGTGAAGAGCAAGGCTCCAGTCACAATGGATGCCCTAGTGCAACAAACTGAGTCCCCATTCACCAGTGGCGTGCTGCATTTTTCCCTCCCGCCAAAATTCAAAATGCCACAGATGGAGGCTTCGATGGGACGAAAGACCCCGTAGACCACCTCAATACCTACAAGAACTGGATAGAGCTGCATGGATATCAGGACCCTGTGCATTGCAGGGCCTTTGCCATTACGTTGAAGGGCTCAACCCTGGCGTGGTTTAATAGGCTTCCCCAGCCTCAATCTCATCCTTTAAAGAACTTTCCATATCCTTTGTATCTCATTTCATTAGAGCTCAGACATATAGAAAGTCAAGCTACCACTTATTGAATGTGAAGTAAGGACCCCAAGAGAACCTTAGGTCCTATGTCTAGAGGTTCAATTTAGAGTCACTGAGAGTGGATGTCCCAGATGAGAAGTTTGTCATTATTGCATTCATAGCTAGTTTAGGCGTGCAATCCAAAGACTTGATATTTTTTATTTCGAAGAACCCTCAGGCAAGCATGGCTGAGGTGTTGACCAAGGCAGAGAAGTACATAAACAGCGAGGAAGCCCTTCTCTCAAAGGTAGGGAGCTCTTCCACGCAAAAATATAAAGTGAAAAAATAGAAAAAGTGGGATCGAAGTCCCAAAAGAGAAAGAGGACGAGATAGGTCTCCAAGAAGAGACAAAGATCGTTCCCCCAAAAGAAGGGGGACGTCAGAGATCTCCTAGGCCCGCCACAGCCAGGGTTGCAGCCGAGGTACGAACCTTGGCAGCTCTCTCCCCTCACTGCAACGATATTACAGATCTTGTATGAGGTGCAAAATGAGAAATTTCTAAGATGGCCACCTCGGATGAAAGCGGACCCAACAAAAAGACATCCCATGAAATACTGTAAGTACCACAGAGATCATGGTCACCACACTGATGATTGTATCTAGTTGAAGAAAGAGATTGAATTCCTGATTCAACGAGGCCAGTTGCGCTGCTACATAGCTCTAGATAATCAGAACCGAGCTCCACCACCTCAGCAACAGGCTCCTATGCAGCACCAGCAACCCCTAGGAGAAATCAGAGTGATATTTGGAGGATTCGCAGGAGGGAGAGAATCTAGTTCAGTTAGAAAGGCTCATTTACGTAGAATCAGAGCTGGCGAAACATAGGAGGTGCACACTGTCCAAGGCACCGCGGCTGAGCACAGCAATCAGCTTCTCAGACTCATATTTGGAAGGTTACTAACATCCCCATGATGACCTGCTGGTGGTAAGGGCTGTCGTTGCTAACAGAACTGTTCATCGGGTTCTGATTGATAACGGGAGCTCTGCAGATATCATATTTGCTTCTGCGTTTGACAAAATCAACATAGACAAGGAAAAGTGGGAGCCAGTCATTACTCACCTGTTAGGGTTCGCAGGGGAAAGGGTACTACCCCTAGGCTCAGTTCGACTTGTGCTCACTATGAGAGATCCTCCTTGCCAGGCTACCACTGTAGTAAGGTTCCTGATGGTTGATGCCCCTTCCGCATACAACATGCTGCTCAAGAGACCATCCCTTAACGCAATGAAGGCAATCCCCTCTGCCTATCACCTGATTATGAAGTTTCCTACAGAGAATGAAGTTGGAGTGGTCCGAGGAGACCAGCTTGTAGCAAGGGAATGTTATATGACCTCGATGAAGCAGAAAGAAGTCAAAAGTATCCAATTAGATAAGCTCGACATGAGGGACGAGCGAGACACTAGGCTAACGCCATCAGAAGAACTAAAGCCTATTCAACTTGATGAGGAGCTGGAGCACCTTGTTTACGTCGGGTCTAAACTAAGCAGGGAAATAAAGGACCTTCTCATCCAATTCCTAAAGAAGAACATGGGGATATTCGCCTGGAAGCAAGAAGACATGGAAGGTATCGACCCCTCGGTTATCACATACAAGTTAAGTGTAAATCCTAATTGCAAGCCTGTTAAGCAGAAACGAATAAGTTTTGTCCTAGACCGCTAAAAGGCAATTAACAAGGAGGTCAGCAAACTTCTCTTCGCCAAAGCCATTAGGGAAGTAGACTACCCTACCTGGTTAGCCAAAGTGGTTCTTGTCAAGAAGGCCAACAGCAAGTGGTGACTCTGCATTGATTTTACTGATCTCAATCGAGCATGCCCCAAGGACAACTTTCCTTTACTTCGGATCGACTTAATAGTGGATGCCATTGTTGGACACAAGCTCCTCAGCTTCATGGACGCTTTCTTCGACTATAATCAAATTAGGATGGATCCAACCGACCAGGAGAAGACCTCATTTGTGACTGAGTAGGGGGGATATACTGCTATCAGGTCATGCCTTTTGGGTTAAAGAACGCAGGAGCCATCTATCAGTGTCTAGTGAATCGAATGTTCCAAAAATAAATTGGAACGTCTATGGAAGTCTACATCGACGATATGTTGGTAAAATCACTGAAGGCAGAGTTCCATATTGCGCATCTAGCAGAATCGTTCCAGATCCTTAAGGAATACAAGATGAAACTCAATCCAACAAAATGTGCCTTCGGAGTGTCTACAAGAAAATTTCTGGGCTTCATAGTCAACAGTAAAGGAATTGAGGCTAACCCAGAAAAGGTTACGGCAGTCCTTGCTATGCAGCTGCCTTCTAATGTAAGGGAGATCCAATGCTTGATTGGGAAAATAGCTGTCTTGAGTCGTTTTGTGTCCAAATCGAGCGATAAGTGTCAACCCTTCTTTTAAATTCTAAAAAAGGCGTTCTAATGGGATACCCGATGTGAAGAAACATTTAATGCTTTNGTGGTGAAGAAACATTTAAGCTTTGAAGGTTTACCTGAGCTCTCCTCCTGTTTTGGTAAGCCCCTTGAGAGAGAAATACTCACTCTCTATCTAGCTGTCTCAGATTTCTCAACCAGTGCAACAGTAGTGAGGGAGCGGGATAAATCTCAGCAACTAGTCTACTACTGTAGCAAAGCTATGAGGGGTACGGAGGAGAGGTACTAAAAAATGGAGAAGCTTGCTTTAGCATTGGTGACTACAGCCAGGAGACTTAGACCATATTTCTAGGCTCACACGATTGAGGTCCCAACAGAATAGCCAATGAAGTAAGTGCTGCATAAACCAGAGTCTTTAGGGAGACTGGTAAAGTGGGCCATAGAGCTCAGTGAATTTGATATCAGATTCAAGCCGAGAACTGTGATCAAAGAGCAAATTCTTGCAGATTTCATCGTGGAGTTCACAATACCAACATCTATGGAAGCAACGCAGCTATTGCCCGACCTCCCCACATGGAAGCTTTCAGTAGATGGAGCCGCAAACGCTCAAGGAAATGGTGCCGGCTTAATACTGACCTCTCCAGATAGGATAGACGTCGAATACGCCCTCAGATTTGGGTTTAAGGCTTCAAACAACGAGGCAGAATACGAAGCTGTCATTACTGGACTCAATCCAGCTCACTCAATGGAGGCAGAGCAGTTAGAGATCTATAGTGATTCCCAGCTGGTAGTAAGACAGATAGAGGAATCCTATGAAGCTAAAGGTGAGAAAATGATCCTTTACCTCAGCAAGGTACGAGAACTGATCAAGAAGTTCGTGTAAGTTAAGATTAGACACGTCCCAAGAGCTTAAAACTCGCGACCAGACGCCTTGACAAGGTTGGCAACAGCTTCGCGGGAGAATTTGGATAGTTAATTCCAGTGAAGCACCTAGAAGAATCGTCTGTGTGCATTGAGGATGAAGAAGTATTGCCTGTACAAGCCCCACCAAGCTAGATGGACCCCATCCTAAGGTATCTTCAGAACGGAACTTTGCCAGAAGATCCCAAAAAAACTGCAAAGCTAAAGACCAGGTCAACCAGATTTTCTATTTTTCAAGGGAACTTATACAAACGA